AAGTACAGCGTCTGGATCGGTGGCTCAATCCTCTCGTCGCTGAGCACCTTCGAGCAGATGTGGATCTCGAAGGCGGAGTACGATGAGAGTGGGCCGATGATCGTCCACCGCAAGTGCATCTAGACTGCTTGTCGGCTGGTGGCCATTTTTGTTTCTGCAGCATTCGTGCATGCATTCGTCAGCTGCTGTGTTGCAGAGGGCCAAGCTCTCAGGTTCATAGGTAGCGTGACAGAGATGTATTGTGCAACTTGCAGGCTTTCCCGCGTCAAATGTACAGCAAAGAGTACCCCGAAGGCAGACAGAGCTTTCTTCGGGTGCTCTGCCGCGGTGGCGCCGTTTGTTGGCGGACTGCCGCCGGGCAACAAAGGGCCGAGATGATGGTAAGATTGCTCTACTTGGCCAGGAATGAAAGTACATGTGTCCAGGCAGCCTTTGGCGAATTAAGTGTAGTTGAAGGCTTGCGCAGGATCAGCATAAGCTCTAACGACACCTCCGCGATGCTTGCGGAACTGTCCGAGAAATGCAAGATGATTCCGCAAGTGTTTTGGCTTCCCAGCTTCAGCTTCTGGCACGATTTCCTCGCGCGCAGAGCAAGGAGTAAGCCATGTCGGACGAGGTTGTAGCTCTTGTGGTTGACAATGGCAGCGGCATGTGCAAGGCAGGGCTTGTAGGATCCGTGCTGCGAAGTTCATCTTTTGCTATCGGCCGCCCCCCCTCCCCCCGCACCCTATCAACAGTCACGGCTCCATCCTGCAGGCAGGGTTCTCTGGCGACGACGCTCCGCGAACAGTCTTTCCTTCCATCATCGGGCGCCCGAAGATGCCGGGCATCATGGTCGGCATGGACCAGAACCTTGCCTGCTGAGTGAAGCCTTGATTCTTCGCGACCCTGCCGGTTCGTAGCATAGCATGTTGCTTCTCACACTGAGACTTGCCAAGGAAAGACCATCTCGTTGGAGATGAAGCGCAAGCTAAGCGTGGTGTCCTGGCCCTCAAGTACCCTATCGAGCACGGCATCGTGACGAATTGGGACGACATGGAGCGAATTTGGCACCACACTTTCTACCACGAGCTGCGTGCGTCGCCTGAAGAACATCCGGTTCTGCTGACAGAGGCGCCGCTGAACCCAAAGGCCAATCGTGAGCGTATGACTCAGCCCCTTGGTGGCTGCATAAGTATAGGGAATGGGCAATGGGCAGCGAAACATCGTTGGCAGTTTCAGAACCATGTGTGGCATGCAGCACTCAGGATCATGTTTGAGACGTTTGGAGTGCCGGCGATGTATGTCGCCATCCAGGCAGTGCTCTCGCTGTATTCCTCCGGCAGAACCACGGGTATTGTCATGGATTCGGGAGACGGCGTCTCTCACACCGTGCCTATCTACGAGGGATATGCGCTTCCACATGCAATCGCACGCCTGGATCTAGCTGGCCGCGACCTTACCGAATACTTGATGAAGATCATGATGGAGAGTGGCTACTCCTTTAGCAGCAGCGCCGAACGAGAGATTGTGCGAGACATCAAAGAGAAGCTCCATCATGATTGGTCAAGTAAGTATTTCTGGCAGTTGCCGTGGGCAGGCTGGTCTAGTGCACATTGTTCTTCCGTTGGGTTTTTTTGTGTGCTAAGGAAGCTTTGCTACATCGCCCTGGACTTTGACAGCGAGATGAAGTCTGCAGCGGAGAGCAGCGACAAGGCGAAGACGTATGAGTTGCCCGATGGCAACATCGTCTCCTTGCAAAGCGAGCGGTTCCGCTGCCCAGAGGTGCTGTTCCAGCCCAGCTTGGTGGGCAAGGAGGCGATGGGAATCCACGACACCACCTTCCGGTCCATCATGAGTTGCGATGTGGACATCCGGCGCGACCTCTATCAGAACGTGGTCCTGTCCGGTGGCTCCACGATGATGCCGGGCATCGGCGAGCGCATGACCAAGGAGCTTTGCGCCCTGGCGCCTTCCACGGTGAAGGTGAAAGTCATCGCACCTCCTGAGAGGAAGTACAGCGTCTGGATCGGTGGCTCCATCCTCTCGTCGTTGAGCACCTTCCAGCAGATGTGGATCTCGAAGGCGGAGTACGATGAGAGTGGGCCCATGATCGTCCACCGCAAGTGCTTCTAAAATGACGATCTTCTGGTGGCCATTTTTGTTCGTGCAGCGTTCACGATTGCATCTGTCAGCTGCTGTGTTGCAGAGGGCCAAGCTCTCAGGTTCATAGCCAGCTTGACAGGGATGTTTGTGCAGTTTGCAGGCTTTCCCCCCCGTCATATGTACAGCAAAGAGTACCCCGAAGCACGACTCAGAGGTTTCTTCGGTGCGTCTTGTCGCCAGCTTGTGGGTTCAATCCAACTTAGAGCGTCGGTCGAAAAATCAAAGACTGCATCTTCTGACGGTCCTCGAGTAGATAATTATTATTACTATGATGATTATCTTTACTATCAGTCATTATTATTTTTAGTTTTATGAGTACTAAACATATTACGAAAGATTATTACAGCTACGATTCCTACTACATATCCTTACCATCACATAGCCCTGTGCGCTCCCAGCCCTAAACCCTCAACCCTGAACTCTGAACCTCTAGAAAGCTTTTAGGGTTTAGGGTTTAGGGCTCCTTCCGCCCTAAAGTTTAGGGCTCCTTCCGCCCGAAACCCTAAACCCTAAACCCTAAACCCTAAGCCCATTCCAAGGTGCTGCTTCTGAATATCGGCACTCCAGCTTCCACAGAGGCCTCCGATAGTTGCGTTTGGACGTCGTCAGGCGACCCCAAGGGTCTTTTGGGATTGTCGGGTTTGGGGTTTTGCGTTTAGGGTTTAGGGTTGAGGGTTGAGGGTTTAGGGCGTAGGGTGGCAATCCTTGAGCCATACGTGGGCCCGAACACAAACCTGTCGCCCTAATGTAGGGGGCCTTAATATTTAGAATAGGGTCTTGTGGTATATTATACTATTATTATAATAAGGAACCCCCAAAACCCGATTTTAATTATTAAGGCCCCTACATGAAACGGACAGGTTGGGGATGTGCGCGACTACCTGGAAAAGTTCTTGGCGGACGATCGGGTGATTGAGATCGAGTTGGGGGTCCTGGTCTCCACTTCGATTCAAGGTAGTTTTGGGCTTGAGCTTTGAGTTTTGTGAGCGTGTCGGCTGTTGGGATATGTAGTAGGTTGGGGTCAACTATCCTACGCTCTGAAGCCTCTGCAGGGTTTACAGAGTTTATTTTCGGCTAAAACCATGAACCCTAAACCTAAACCCTGAACCCTAAACCCTAAACCCTAAACCCTGAACCCTGAACCCTGAACCCTAAACCCTGAGCCCAAAACCATGGATTTTTTTGGTTTTTTTGCCCCAGGATTGCAGGGCTCTAGATGGTTTTGGGAGCCCAGGAAGCCGGAGCCGGGTTTGTGGGGTTTAGGGCTCAGGGTTTCTGGGGGGTACGGGCTTAGGGTTTTGGGTTTATAGGGTTTAGGGTTTGTGGGGTTTAGGGCTTAGGGTTTATGGGGTTTAGGGCTTAGGGTTTATAGGGTTTAGGGGCTTAGGGTTTATGGGGTTTAGGGCTTTGGGTTTATTGGGTTTCGGGTTTAGGGTTTGTGGGGTTTAGGGTCTAGGGTTTTGGGGTTTATAGGGTTTAGGGTTTGTGGGGTTTAGGGTCTCGGGTTTTGGGGTTGGGACTTTATGGTGCAGGAGGTCGAAGTTCCGAGCATGCTATTAGGCTTCGAGCTTGAGGGGGCCTTCGGGCTTGTAGGTGTGCGGTAGTGTATCAGTATCAGTGGTAGCCAGAGCCGATGAAGGGTTTTTGTAGGTGATCCCTGTAGTGAAGAGAGTATTTTTCATGGAGGTGCTAGATACAGCGATCGCCGGCCTCGTTGATTTCCTGGGCTTGTGTTTCCTTGTTCGACAGTCACATCTGTCCTCAGTTATTTCGCGCTTATGTGCCCTCTTTCATACGTCTTCTCATTGTTGTCGTGGTTGCGGGTGTCCTGGGTCGCGGATGGTAGAGAGCGAACTGAACCCCCAGAAAGCCTCATCGCTCAACTCCAACGTATCCGATCCACTTACAGCCTCAAGCCATAACATCCGTAAACTCGACGCTGCTTCCACCCTACCCCGAACCCTCAACCTCAAAGCTTATGCCCCCCCACATTGCCCAACCATAAACCCTACTTCCCTTCCCCCCTGTGCCCACGCGACAGACACGGACAGACACAGACAGA